CCAGAATTCCCCAGCCAGCCATGCTGGCTGGGGGATTCTGGGAGGTGAAGTCCACACATCTTCAAGCTGCCAAGGTTGAGGAATACTGGCCTAGACTTTAGATGTCCTGCGTGTACAACTTTCATTCTGTGCTGCACTGCATGAAAGTTTGAAAGCGCCAAATATAGCCTAGTTCAAGGGCTCATATCTGGTAACTAGCTTTTTGATGAACAAAATACTTAAGCAGTATCGGGAGCTAGTATCTCCTGGGCTGGGTTCACACATGAGACTAAGTCAGAATGGGGTTTGCTTATTTGTGGCTCAGCATAGTATACGGCTGCAGGAAATTAGTTAAGCAAGTTAGTTAAAAAAGTGAGTGCAGTGTGTCACTAAGCCTTCGATGAGTTTGCACACTGTGCTAAGCCAGGATTTTAAACCCTGGTTTATGGAACAAGCCACAATGACCTGGCTTGGACATAACATGAAGCTGTAATTGGATGTGCTCAAGCATCATGCTAACTCCAAATCAAGCAAACCACATTATGGTTTGGCATAATGTTTGAATCCAATTGCTCAAATCAAATCTTTATTACAGTCATAGACCAATATAAGGAGGGTGGGTACAGTCAATAAATCCAATTGCTGATTGCATTCTGACATAACATTGGTTTATCACAAGCATTTGTTTATCTCCTCTTCTGGGGTAGACATGTCTCAGATGTCATATTTCCATGTCTCTTTTCAGTGAACCAGTTTCAGTTAAATGTTATCTTTGAAACCTGAAACTCTCATTAATTTTAACCACAGCCAACGGAAACAATCTTCTTTTGCAAGCCACAATAAGGAGTTGCCTTGTTTCATTAAAAGTACAGCTAAAAATGTCACATCCAGTGTTTCATGCTGGCTGGGAAATTCTGGGAGTTGAAGTCCACACATCTTAAACTTGCCAAGCTTCAGAAACACTGGTCACATCTATAGTGAGGTGATTTTTTAAAAATGGTGGACATTTCCAATCTCCTCCTTGTGGCCCTGTTAAAAGAGGACACAGAAGAAAAAATGGGCTACATCAGGCAACAATTCTGCTTCATGCAGCATTTTGGTCTGACCCTTCTGGGAAGCTGAGAAAAGAACATCAACCTGCACAAACTTGTACAGATATCTGGTATTGAGAGGGAGACAGCCACAAAAGCTATTAGTACTAGGCAACCATTGTAATTGTTAAGCACAAATAGCTGTGTCTCCCACAAATAACGCCCTTGAAACATTTCCCGTTGTCAACAATCTCTACATCTTGTCTAGGTGGGTCCCAAAGCACTGTGTGAAGAAGTACTTCCCATTGCCTCTTCATCTCAGTTTCCTGGGATAACCCTGGTTCTAGTATTTTAAGAAAGAGGACGAGAGGGAGAGAGATTCTTTTCTCTGTCTCCTTTTTCCACCCAATGCATACTTTTATTTAGCCATCTTTTCTACCACAGAGATGATCTGATGTAACTGAGGCTTGTTTTATGTATTAGAAAGCCTAGTTTATTGTTCCATTAAAATTGAGTCATTAGCTGAACGTTGAATTGCGAAGGTTCATTCATAGTGGCCTCAATGAATTTAAAGATGCTTAAGACTCCATTTTGTTTCAGTGACAACAAAGCCTCCCATATCATTATCTGACACTTAAAAAAAAAGTTGCCAGTGCTGAATTGCAAATGGCACTTATTTATTTACTGAATGCTCAACAAACTTTCTGCTGCCCTCAGCTCTGAGGCAGCTTACAGTGACTGCCAAACAATTAAACTTCATCCACACTATGCAGGAAAAAGAGCACCAAAGAAAATCAACAGAGGTGACAGAAGCAAAATAAAACAATTGTTGAAGAAAAAAAAAAAGACATTAAGAAAGAGCCTCAAATGTAATTGTAAAAGCCCTGGAAACCAGAATCAATTTTATCTGGTGTTTAAATATAACAAAGACAACATCGGGTGAATGTATTTGGGGAGAGAGTTCCAGAATTTGTATGACAACATAGAAGAAACCCCTGTCTTAAATTTAACCTTTTTTCCTTTTATGCAAACTAGTGTTTCTCAACCTTGGGCACTTTAAGCTGGGTGGAATTTATTTCCCCGAATTTCCCCACGCAGCACGGAGGGTGGGGGGATGTTGTGGGGGGGAAGGAAACTTCTCTACAAATACCTAAGG